AAAAATAACTTAAAAGGCGCTGATTTGGACTTTTTTTTGGCGACATGTCATCTTCCTTTTCATCTTCCCTCTCTGCAAAATTAACCTCATCTTCCTTTCTCATCTTCCCTCTCTGCAAAATTAACCTCCACTCCATCTGCAGAATCAATCTTAACCCATTTCTTCTTCCTCTCTAAATACTCTCTCATCTCCACTCCTCTACAAAACCGATCTTAACCCATTTCTTCTTCTTCTTCTCTTTTCTCAAGAGAACTCGAGAAATTGAACCCAGTTACTGGGTTTCATTCAAGCCTCAAACTTAGTAAATCTTATTAAATCAAATTAACCATTCAATAAACAAAATAAACAATATCAATCAAACTCTAATCAAACTCCAACAAAAATACAATCAAATTGTAAATCAACTCTCAAATTTATTAACAACTAGAAATGAAAATCCAAAGAAAAATGAAAAAACATGAATTCAGCATCGAAATAGCAAAGTTGGGTTCATTGGAACCCAGCTTGGGTCTCGTCGAACCCAATAGCTGGGTTCGGGTAAACCCAGCAAGGCTGGGTTAGACGAGACTCAGCAGGGTTCGTCGGAACCCAGCCTTGCTGGGTTCGGGGAAACCCAGCCAGGCTAGGTTCGTCGAACCCAGCCTGCTGGGTCTCATCGAAACCCAGCCAAGCTGGGTTCAACGAGACCCAGCAGGCTGGGTTCCGTCGAGATCCAGCAGGCTGGGTTCCGTCGAGATCCAGCAGGCTGGGTTCCGTCGAGATCCAGCAGGCTGGGTTCGTCGCAGCCATGGAGACCCAGGGCAGGAAAAAAAGAAAGAGAAAGAAAGAAGGAGAAGAAGAAGGATTGGGTGGGTGAGGGTAGTTAGGTAATTTTATGTCAAAATGTTTGCCACGTCATAAAAAAAATTAAAAGATAATATTAAATGTCAAAATGTTTGTCTATGTCATCACTTTGCTCTCCACATCATCAAAAAAAATATAAAAAATGCCACATAAGCGGAGTTAACGGCTCAAATTAACAGAAGGATTAACGGAGTGCATTTCTTGTAGTTGAGGGATCAAAAAAGTGCAAAAAATTGTTGAGGGATCAAAAATGTTCATTTCTTAAAGTTGAGGGACCAAATTTAGCATTTAACCTTTATTATACCAAAAAAACTAAACCTTCCAACGTTCAACCAATGGAGTATTAAACATTCCCTGCGATGTTGAAACGGGTATTTTAGTCATTTTAGGTGGTTTATACAAAGAATTGAAGGGGCTATTTTGGTATTTTACTTCTCTCATCCAACCACTTCACCCCTTAGCCGAGAAGGCTTTCCCTTTTTTTCAAAATTTTTAATCAAGAAGGTATTTTCGAGACAAAAACTAAAATTTTTTTTGGATAAAATAACTTTCCGAAATCATTTAGCTGCCAATCAGAAGTAGCACAATTCGATTTACAACAATCTAGACAAAATCCTGGATTTCATTCTCCACCAATCATGCCCTTAATGTTCTAAAATGTGGCAAGTGGAAAATGATTCCCACCCGCTGGGAGAAAAAAAAAAAAAGGAATGAGAAAAAGATCCCATTCATATATGTGGTCGGCAGCAACTCACTATGAATTATGAACCCAAATTTCAACTTGTCCACCGCAAAGTCACGAAAAAGTAGAAGCGAAGTTTCACATCAATTGACCGAACTATAACTCGTTCAAAATTCAAATCAATTACCCCCAAAACTGCAGAGTTCGGTCCGTTGCTTTCACACCAAGACAGCTACACGATACAATTTGATGATAAATTAAAGAAGGGACAGTTCTTTGTCTTACCGATTTTTAAGTCGTTTTAAAATTTAAAATTCCTTTAATTTAAAATCTCATCTACTTCATATAGTTGAGACATTTTCTTAAAACAAAAAACTTACTATAGATGATGTACAAGAAATAATAAAATGATTTAAATGTCCCTTTCTGTCTCTTAACTTTGTGATTTTGTACCAAAATGAGCTTCAATTTTTTTAGTACTTTTTTTTTTTAACCCAACTCTCAAATTTGAAATCAAAATAGCCATTATTATATAGTGTTAATTGTGAATGTTTTATCTTCCTTGTTTTTTATGTTCTCATTTTTCATGTGTTTATATATACTCAATATAATACTGATTAACTCTTCACTTTTTTATGCAATTATATGATAATTAATATATCTTGAGATTTTTCACTTAGATTTCGTATGTTAGTAGTGTTATGTAATTATAGTTTTTTTAATTTTTTATTATTTAAAAGAATTTAAAATATTAATTAAAATTAATAAAAGTATATAAAATTAATTGAAATTAATGAAAAAAACAAATTTAATTTTTTAGATAATGTGTGGTGTGAAAAAAAATCTATGCAAAGAAAGTATGGTCCAATAAAGTTGTAATGCTCCGAATTTCACATCATGATGGAATGTAAATGTGATTTTTATATAAACATGGAGACTAATTACTACTAAAGTATTAATAACTTAAATTTAAAATTTTGAATGTTTGTGAATCTTAACTTAAAGACTTAAATAATTGATAAGACACTAACAAATTTTAACTCAAATTATTTCAATTGATATCAAAACAGTTATTTTTGATAAATATGGATGGAAGGGTAAGTGTAATGGTATATAAATATAAAAACCAACTGTTGTTATCATAACTTTTGAGTATTTTAATATCTCAAAAATTATGTTTTTCTTATAATTACTTTAGAAAAAAGTATCACATATCAATATAATTACTAAATTTTGCAAATTATTAATTACAATTAATTTATGATAATAAATTCACTTTTAATAAATTACTGTTTGAAAAAAATGCCGTAAATCGGAAACCTTAAACCCGACGGCAATCAAACGAACAACGCACGTCGCGCACATCACATGCGCCTTTATTACTTCCCCTTTAAATCTTCCACCATTTCATGTTTTGCACGTGATCAACCAGATCCATTCTTCCCGCTCCCCTTACCTTTACCTTCCAAAAGTCGATATGACCCCATTCACCAACATCATTTTTTTTTTTAATCTTAGTTATATAGAAAAACTAAACTACCCCATATCCCTTATTCCATCTTATTTATATATTATACAATTCAAATCAAAATTTTTTATTTTTTAACAAAAATAAAAAATTAATTATTAAATTATTTAAATCAATAAATATAATTTTTTAAATAACATTTAGTACGTGAGATGTTTGATTTGATGTAAATAAGAAGAGAAAGGAGGATAGGATGCCTAGCAGCCTAGTGGTCACTTCTTTTTGTTTGTCTGGGACTTTTATGTTAAAAGTTTAGAGTCGTGAGATTCAAATTTTATTTTATGTTAAAAAATAAAAAGAAAAAGAGGAATTGAGTGGAAAATAGAAGAATGTCCCTTTTCTTACTTAAATAAGTAAAAAAATAAAAAATAAAATAAGATGATTTATTTTACATTTGATTTTTTTTTGTCTCATAACTATAAATTATATTGTTGGTACACCCTTAATTTAAAAATTGAATTTCAAATTTCCCCAACCTTAAAGTCGTAACATGTACAAAAATAAAAT